AGAAGAGAAGAGAGAGAGAGAGAGAGAGAGAGAGAGAGAGAGAATGAATGGAGAGAAGAAAGAAGAAAATAAAGTTGCGACCGAGTTAATCGAATGAAAGTTAACGAGAAGGAAAGATATACCACGAAAGATAATAATAATAAGGAGGCAGAAAAATATGCGAAAAAATATTAGTTGGTTAGTTCTGAACAGGCTTGGCAATTTGGTAGCCTAAGTCTGATGCTGAACTTGACTCTCTCTTGCTCGCAGGTCCAATTCGTTCCGGCAGACTAGCGGTGGTAGGGCATTGCAGGGCTTGGAGGGGGGAGGCTATCGTGGGGCCACTCCAAGCAGCTCCCTTATGGGCAGCTCCAGCATCTCTGCCCACCCCCTCCTGCCCCTCGGCGATCCTGGTATGTACCATGACCGACACCAACCTCCACGAGAAACGCTTTCTTTTCTTTTCTTTTCTTTTCTTTTCTCCTTTACCTTTTCTTCCTTTCTCTTTCTTTTTTCCTCCAATTTTCTCTACCTTTTTTTCATTTTCTCTCTCTTTTCCATTTATATTTATTTCTTTCTTCATTTTTTCGTTCATTCCCTAGCATTTTTTTACTTTACTTACTTTTCTCTTATGTGTATGTATATATATATATCATACGTATACATATACATACACAGATCACATACAACACAGACACACACACACAGACACACACACACATATATATATATACACATAAAGTATCGTAAGAGTAGAGAGTAGTAGAATTAGAGCGTATTGCAAATATAGAACGCTTTTTGAAAATGAATTTATCGAAACGGCTTGTTGTTGTCTCGTCTCGAGAAAAGAGGAGAAAAAGGAAGAGAATTGTGAAGGTATAAAGTATGAAGTAAAGGATCTTTCGAGAGCGGCGAATGAAACGAGAGAACGGGAAGAAGAAAGATAAAAAAACGTAAAAATAATACGATTTCAGCCCTGGAAACCCCAGCTCTGTCTCTATCATGCGGCTCGATGACACTGGATTCTCCGACGACTGTGACGAGTGTCTCGATGGGAGGGACGATTCACCGTCGCGAAGACACAGCTACATCGTTTCGGACGCTTACCTCCATCGACGTCCATTCCCCGGCCACGCCCAGCCAGGTCCCAGCACAGCGGCAGATGCTTGTTGCCAGCAGCCAGCAGCGGATTTCATCAGCAGGTCGTATCAGCCCCTCTAACAGCAGTCCTCCCGAATTTCCCCCACCGCGACCTATGCCTAGACACCCGTGGCAGCGTTCGGCCAGTTGCCGCGAATTGTACGCGTCTAGCTTCGAGGATTCGGGGAAAGCGCGATCCTCGGTGGCCAAGGACGAGGAGAGGGGACCTCCTACCGGCGATCATCATCCTGTTTCCGACCTACCTTTCCGTCTACCGTCCCAGGGCGAGCTTGATAATCCCGTGACGCGATACGACGAGAGCAATCGATCGTACAGCGCTGCCAGCTCTAAATTGCCATCCCTCGATCACGATTCGGCGGTGGTGCCGGATCGCGTGTACAGTAGCTCTTATCCGGGGACATCCTCTTTATCGACCGAGTCGGGCCACGAGGAATCGGGGCCCGCCGGCGACCTATCCCACGACGATCTATCCCACGACTCTTACGAACTTTTGGAACGCGAGCACGAATTTGAATATCCGGAATCGTACTCGAGCCCCCGCGACGAAGAGGAGGAGGAGGGGGAGGAGGCGATGTCGGAGAGAAGCGACGAGGGGATCGAGCACGAGATGTTCCAAATGGACTCGGAGACCGATTCCTTCGTCAAACACCGTTCGATCAGATCGACGGAGAGGCAGCAATTCAAATCGGTGCTCGCCGACCTTAAGAAAGACGCTAGGACGAGATCGACCGATCGGTACACGAAATCGGATACCGATTACGTGACCGTCGAGTCGCGTATACAACGGTCGAGCACTCAGATCGAGAGAAAATTCGAGACTCGACACGCGAACTCGATAGAACAATTCCAGCAACAACAACAACAACAACAACAGAATAAACTCGCGCTTCCGCATCAGGATTCGGGTAGGAAGGATCCGGTCGTGTTGCAGGTTCAAAAGCAAAAAATGTCCGTGTTGAACGAGTTGAAAAGCTTGAAGCCCAAATACAAGATCACCCACGTGGACTCGGAGATTTTACGGGACGAGGGTATAATGCGGCCGAAATCTCGCATAGACGACGATCTTAGCCCCGTAGATTCGACCAACAGGACGATACTCGATCAACAGCAAAGAGGTAGAACGGTTCGGGCGCGTAGCGTGGCTAGTTTGGAGGATCACGTGTTGGTGTCGCGCGTGTACGTGGAAACGGGTAGCCTAGGCCGCGGCGTTCACAACGGTAACAAGGAACGGAAACAAGCGACGTTGCAGGACAAGGAGAATCGTTCGAGGACACGCGTCGATTCTTCGAGGGAGCACGATCGTAGAAAGTCGGCGGACAGGGGGGGGGAGTCGAGGAGGAAATTCGAGTCCACCTCGCCGCATACTCGCCGGGAGGGGAGGGAGTTGCGCAGAAGCATCGAGAGGTTGGATGCGCGGGAGAGAAGTTACGAGCGCCTCGATTCGAGGACGATGGAGAGATCGTTCCTCCGCCATGCCGACTCGTACGAGTCGCGTGGGAGGAGCGTGGAACGCTTGGACATTCAGAGTTTGCGCGGTAGCAGCACCGAGTATCTGAACAAAATTTCCAAGGACAGATCGAGGGATCACAGGCACGCGACGTCGGAGCGTCGGGAGAGAAGCGTGGAACGGTTGGATTCGAAGGAGAGGAGGAAGAGCCCCCGGCGAGCCGGCAACGCCGCGCTCGACCACAGGCACACGTTGGAGAGGTTCGACTCGTTCGCCGGGAACAGAAGCCCGCTCGAACGTTTCGGCAGGGAGTACAGGGGGAAGAGCGTGGAAAGGTTGGACTCGAGGGAGAGGCCGACCTTCGACTTCGATCCCGTAACGATCGAACGTTTGAAATCGTTGGAGAGATGCAACAACAACAACAACAATAACAACAATGCCAACATCAACAATAACCTTAGCAACAACAATGTTTCGAAGGAAAAAGGCGGCGCGCACGAGAGAAAGGGGGAGCGGAGGCACGGGGAGCGAAAGCACTCGGACTCGAGGAGAAGCTTGGACCACGAGCCGCACGCCGATTGGAGGAGGAGCAGCGTGGAGAGGATCGAGTGCAAGGAGTCGTGGAGGAAGACGGCGGCGAAGTCGGTGGAGAAGCCCCGGGAGAGGGACGATTGGAGGAGTTTGGAGAGGGCGCGGAAGGACGAGGAGAAGAGGGAGAGGGAGCGTCAAGCGCAACGGCTCTCGATCGAGTCGAGGACCGACACCGTGATCGGCGTCCCGATCGAGATGGAGAATCTCAAATCGAAGACCTCTCTGTTCACCGAGTACGATCCCAAGATCGTGGCGGGGTTGTGCTGGGCTTCGAGGACTCGATGCCGAGCCACACCCCCGTCGAGCGTACCAAGAGCGACCCGAACCCCGCTCGACAGAGGTTGGCCTCGAACAGCAAACGTCACATACTGATGCACCAAAAGTCGATCGACTTGACGCCGGCCGACTCGGGGGACGAGGACCCGTTCTCGGACACGGCGGCCATGCAGAGGACCAACGTCGAGATACCTTACACGTTGCACAAGCGACACGTGATGAACGGCACCGCGTCCGACGAAAAATCCGAGTCTGACAGCGGGAAAACTGGTGGCTCGACGACTGCAACGACTACCACTGCTATTACTATTACTGCTACCACCACGACAACCACCACGACCGCTACGAGCGTTCGAGATCTTCCCAAGTTACCGCTCAAGATGATCACCGACATCTCCTGTTTCGACCTGTCGAAACTCTCCTCGATAGACAAGCCCGCCACCAAACTCTCGCCCACTCGGCCGAGATCCATACTCACCAGCCCCTCGTCCGATAAACCGAAAAGCATCCTGAGCCCCGTGTCCAAATTATCGCCTACCGAGCACTCGAGCAAGAGTCCACCGTCGAAAGTGTCGTCGCCCGAGAAAACGAAATCCCCCGTCCCGAAATCGTCGTCCTCCAGCGTGGAGAGGAAAGGCTCGTCCAAGTTGTCGCCGATCGAGGCGAGCGTGACGATCGTCTCCTCGACGTCGTCGGCGAAAGCGTCGTCCCCCACCGATCCGAGCGTGACCATACTCACGATGCAGAGGAAGAGATCACCGACCGAGAAGGGAACAACAATCGGACAGAGGTCGTCCCTCGACTCGAAGACGGGCAAACCTTTGTTGAACTTCGCCGACGTGGTCGGGATGGAGATGAGGATGAAGCTGGAGCGGAAGTCGAGGTCCGAGAACGTGTCCGAGGCGAGGAAGGAGGACAGTTTGAGGACGCCGGACGACAGTTTGGAGAAGCAGGACAGTATAGAGAAGATACCGTTGCCGGAGATTCCGCCGAGGCCGGAAGAAGAGGAGGAGAAGGAGGAGGAGGAGGAGAAGAGGAGGAGGAAGAAAAAGGAGGAGGAGAAACCGAAGATTCCGGAGAAGCCTAGCATACCCGAGAAAACGAAACGTATATTGGAGAAGATAGAGTCGAGGCTGTTCGAGGCGAGGATCGCCAGGCCGAAGATCATAGACACGGGTTACGACGATTTCGTGGAGCCGGTAGCCGACCTCCCGTTGGACGAGGTGCCCGTAATCAAGCCCGCCCTCGAATTGGACAGTCTGAAAGTTCCTGAATTCGTTCCGTTCGTGTCGCGGCCCCACGGCGAGCCCCTGCGCTCGAAATCGTTGTCGTTGGCCGAGGAGAAGGCGCCCATAGACACTCTCCTCTCGCCCGAGGTGGAGAACAAACACTTCGTGCCGGACGTGTCCCCGAAAAGGGCGAAGAGGGCGGCGAAACAGGAGCCGAAGAAGGATTCAAGAAACAGTCCAAGTCGCTCGAGGCCGACAAACCTCCTCTCAAGAAGACCGCCTCGAAGGAGTCGCGCGCGTCCACGCCGAGCTCCTCCAAGATCGACAAGTCCAAGTTGAAATTGGGCGAGATGCCTCAGGAGATCATCATAATAGACTCGACCGACGTTGCGCCCGAGGTGAGCATCGTTCAGAAGGGCAGATCCAAGTCCATCACCCGATTACCCGAGAAGGAGGAGCAAGGGGCGGGCAAAAGCGGTGGGGGTACCCGGGCGAAGTCGGCCTCTGTCGACGACGATCTCATAAAAATCGGCGCCGCCAGTTCCACCACGAAATCGGAAAAGTCGAGGCCGAAATCGTTGGGGATATCGAAGAGCTTGAGCGGAGGGGCGGAGAGGAAAGACTCGGCCGAGAGAGTATCGCCCAAGAGGACGATCGTTGGAAGAGGAGGCGGCCCGAAAACCAGCGTGGAAATCAAATCGCCCACGTCGAAGGAGACGGTGGCGTGGAAAGCGCAACGAAGCCAGAAACAGGAGACGACGGAGATGGGAAGCGATCGAGAGAGGAAATCGGGTCAGACGCCTGTTCTCTTTGCACGCGCGCGTTTGGGTCTTTCGGAGGGGAGCGGGATAGGGGCGTTGCAGAGGCAGGGAGCGACGCAATCCCCCACCTCTCAGAGGCGGGCGAAATCGTTGGACGCGCCCGTGATCGCGGTGCACAAGCTGCCATCTGTGAACGCGTTCTCGAGCAAAGACGACACCGTGGAGGAGACGGCTGAGGAAGGGGCGGAGGAAGTGGCGGCGGCGAAACACGCGGCAACAGCGCCTTCGAAAACGCAGGTGGCGCAGTCTATACAGGTCGAGGTGTCCCCGAATCATAGCACAACGACGACGACGACGACCACGGATCACACAACGGTGCCCGAGATATTCACGGATTCCCTCTCGGTGACCGAGACCTCGGCCCAGTACCTCGAGTCGCCGCTCACCGAGTGCAACGAGATCGTGGCCAGCGCCGATTTGATCCCCTACGAAAGGGACGCGGTCCGGTTGGAGGCGAACGGGGGAACGAAGGACACGATGCTGGAGTCGGTCAAGGTGGACGAGAGAACTAAATTCATCGATCAGAGTTCCGTGGAGTCGGGGGAGCAGGAGGTAGTGGCCAGGACCGGGGAGAAGATAGATCTGTTGGCCGTCTCGAGGACCGTCGATCCTTCGATTCCTCGAAGGTCGAGCAGCGACGAGGAAACGAGGGAGGAAAGAAGGACGAGGGGCGACGT